GTGGATCCTGAATACGAATTATTTACATTTACTGTTGCGTACGTTTATGAAGGACTGAGAGCACGACATGGTTTCGAATCACTCTGGGCTGCTTATGGAACCTAGGCAAGGTGGAAACCGCGGTTTCTACTGACGATAAATCCTTGTGGAAGTTGAGGCTAGGCAAAATTCAGTGGAATCGTAAGGCCTACTAATATTGGTATGAGCAAATTAAACCATCAGTCTTTCTTCACCTTAAGTGACCTGGGTTGGGTAGATGATGATATCGGGAAATTTTAATTTCAAAGTAGGATCTAATTATATGCTCAACTCCTTGATGCATTAAGTGAGCGACGTAAATAAGCTGGAGATAATCTCTGAAATTCATGAGATTTTCCAGTTTAATTTGAAGTATATCTTGCCTCATATTTTGAATTTAAAATGATCAAAAGTTGAATACGAAAGACAGCTGTAATGCTCCAGCCTACTTTACACTACGCCTGAGAACTAATATTTTTTGGGCCCTCTGAACCTCGGTTTCAGCGAGTCGAGCAAGTTGAATATAATCTCTTGGAAAACTTAACTTCTTTGACAGAAGGTCGATTAAACGTTCGGTTTCAACTATGGATAAATTCTCCATTTATAAGTGGGCTTTCGAGACTACCAGTAAATCATATATATGAGGTGAATTCATCATATTTCGTTTAGTGCAATAAGGAGACTGGCATGAAGTTTCCATGGCTAAATTTTGCATAGAATAATTCTTACGTCAAAACCCATTCTTCACACTCGTTGAAGGAACGAAACGAGCCAGAAGTACCACACTAGCTATAAAGACCCAGTTGGTGTGATCTTCTGTTTTGTTGCAAGCTGTATAGTGTCTGTTTGACCTATTCATTATCTGGGTCGGAGCGACACGGAGACGTGGAATGTACAGAATCCTACGTCCTTTGCCATAGTATACATGATTTCCAGCATCGGACCGTTCACTTGGTGCATTCCCAGACGTTTCGCCGGCATCGCAGTCTGCATCGTCAGTTATAGGCGTCATAGTTAACAGAGAGTTACACTTTGATTACCTTGCCACTTTGAAAGGCTGTACCTATGCACTAAGTATTGGCGCCTCTCACTGACGATGTCGACTAAGATGTCGGTGAAACGTCTGCGAATGTACCAAGTCAACGGTCCAGTGCTGGAAATCGTGTATACTATGACAAAGGACATGAGATTCTGTACATTCCACGTATCCTTGTCGCTCCGACCCAGATAAAGAATATGTCAAACCAACACTATACAGCTTGCAACCGAACAGAAGGCCGCACCAACTTGGTCTTTATATATAGTGTGGTACTTCTGGCTCGTTTCGTTCCTTCAACAACTATGAATAGTAGGTTGCGATGTAAGAATTATTATGGGCAAAATTTAGCTATGTAAACTTCATGTGCACTCATATCATTGTGGAAAAATTCAATTATTTTCCTAGACGAAATAGGATGCATTCACCTCTTATATATGATTTATTGGTAATCTCGAAAGCCTATTTATAAGTGACGAATTTATCCATAGTTGAAACCAAAATTTTAATCGACAATCTACTAAGGAAGTTAAGTTTTCTGAGAGAATATATTCAGTCTGCTCGACTTGCTGAAACCGAGGCTCAGAAAGCGTTTCAAGGGCCTGAACAAATATTAATTCGCAGGCGCAGTGTAAATTGGGCTGGAGCCCCACGGCCAAAGTTCAGCGTAGCTGTCGTTCATATGCAACGGTCCGATGCTGGAAATCATGAATACTATGGCAGAGAACGCACAATTGGGTATTTTAAACAGAGTGTCCCTGTGTCGCGAAAACGAGTTTAAACCAACAAAAATACCACTGTTTAATGATGCTTATTCGTATTTAAACTAAAGCCAACAGTGTGAGCAAAGAAAGGGAAGTGGAGCCCTTGAAGATTATGGGCACTCACAGCATTATCGGGTTTTTCTTATTTTCTTGTTCCATTTCATCTTATACGTTATTATCATTTAAATGACATTAAATAACATTATAACATCAACGCTAAGCCTCTTGAATATATTTTTTCTGATCACCTACTCATCCTAACTGATTGACAAGTCTGGGATAATTATATGCCCAACTTGGTTTGGGCCCTTTGTCCATATTTGCTTATGTTGTTGTCTTTAACAGAATTGCTGACCTGTTTTGTCTAATTTTATACGCTAGATGGGATGACGAGACGATGACGATAACCGATTCGCTTCTTGGAGAGACGATCGGCCAGCTGCCGATGCTGCATATGAAACCTGAAATGGATTTTGAACCGAACCCTAATGACTACATCGCGCCTCTTTACAAGACGATAGAAAGAGCCGGAGTTTTGTCGACGACAGGTAAGTTCTTTATGCTCATTTAAACTAGTCACCTTTCTTCAAATGGATAGTACGGAAAAATTGTTGAGCTCACTTCCATTTCGCGTGGAAATGTTTGATGGGGAGCTTCGAAGGATGAGCCCGTCAGAAGACGATGGCAGATTCCTCTTGGTCAGCTGTCAGCTGGAACATTCTTTTTGTACGCTGTTTCCAATACAAACTCACTCGATTCTAGTGAAAATGCTCCAAGCTTTCGTACGTCATATGATGAGCATTGTCAGAGTAGGTTATCATTCTTACAACCATTAACAAAGTGATTTAGTGAATTCAAGTTGTGTGCTATCCTTGAATCATGTGAATGTATCTGTCTGTATGTATTTGCTTGGCACATTTTCACCTGAAGCGAAAGAGATTGCTTCGAAAACAGCTTCAACAAGAATGCTTCAGTAAAGCCAATCGACAGCTGGCTAAGAGTAATCCGCCGTCGTCTTCTGGTGAGATCGAATTTCGGAGCTGTTCAACGAACACTTTCACTCGAAATGGAAGTGAGATCAACACCTATGAAAGAAAGGAGTCCTCGAAACCCAACTTTTATTCGCATATAGTACGGAAAGGCACTTTAACGGCGTTACGATGGAACTAGAGGAAAGGTTTATTCATATTCACGAGAAAATAAAAATGGTTTTAAATATTTGTGCAGTCTCGAAGGCGAGAAAGAACTAGTTGCCTATAGCCGAAATTTTATTACCTGAGCCAATTAAGA